GCTGGTCCAATTTAGTCGGTTCGAAGTTGCTATTGGTCGTAAAAAGAACGTAGTTGTCGTGAGAACTGAGTTGCAAAATTCTGCTAGTAGTCGGAAAAAGCATCTGTGATACCCTCAACGCGAAAGAAACTCGAAAAGAACGAAGCCTCGAGACCAAAACCGAGGGAAATTGAATAGAAAAGCAATTTGCCCGATTCGAGAAACCTTGAGAAGAAAAATTTAGCGCGAATTTCTCCAACCAATCGTATGCGGGGCACTCGCGAGCTGTTCACCATATTTGGCGTGAGCTAAACTGATATTTGGGAGCTCTTCTGTCGATTTGCATAGGTATTAAATTGACCAGAGAGCGTTAAAGCGATGTGGCTGGCCAAATCAGCTTTAAATTTTACACCGGGCCAAGAATGGTTCTTGCGCTCTTACATATGGTAGTTTCAGCTTTATTTTCGCTAGTTAACATGTTTAAAAAACTCGTTGAAGGTGACAGAGGCGAAGCGAAGCGATGTACATTGCATTTGTCCGTAGCCGCGCAAGTAAGTAGAGCTCGTCATTTCAAATGCAAACTAACCTTAGGTTGGTATATTATTTAGACACTCTGGACAGCCGTAAGGTTGTCATCACATTGTTATTTTGGTGTAACAGATTTCTACACCCGCAAATTGTGAGTTAAACGGGCAAATCTAAAACTGTTTCGAGCGATCTCCTGCAATCAACCCGTTATAAATGTCACTTTGCCATTTTTTGAATGAATACCTTTCATTTCACGGTTGTAGCTCTTCAAGTGATGTTATTCTGACCGAACGAGATATTGCTATGTGACTGAAATTCAAAGTGAACCCTTTTGTTTGTTTTTTTAGGACGTTCTCTCCTGCCTGACCTTAGCGATCGACATGAAGTCGTTGAAAGAAAGCGCTGAAAGGGCGATCCATCTGCTTCTACCGCGAGTGGTAAGTTAAAAACACGCACACCGCTTTCAAGCTAGCCCGCAATAAATAGTTTGTTTACGTTTTTGAAGACGACACTACACTTGCAAATTCATCGAATTTTCGTTCATATGTGCCTTTTTAGAAAGCTTTAGTTCCGCGAAACCGTTCAAAACCATTTCGTTTTCCAAAATTTTATTTCTTCTTGACGCGCGCTTTCATCACTGCTTTCATTAGTGGTCGTTGTAAAAATTATCGCTTGACCTATAGGCGAAATGCACCTCACTGTTGAGGGCTTTCTCTTATTCAAACAATCGCTGAGCAAATTTTCTTTCTTCGTTATTCGTGACCCGTCCTATGAAAGTAGAGAAAATAAAGAAAACCAGTGAAACGTTGAATTTGTAAACTATTCGCCAGACACTTCACACTGAATGTGAACCGTCACGTCAACCTCCGTGCGCACCGCGATAAAATGCATCTTGAACATTGCGACTGTGTAATTTATGTAAAATTATATTGTATCTCAGTTTACGCCCCAATGCCGCCGCAGAAATTTCATTATTTTGACTCTGGTTAAGGAAAATAAATGGCGTTATTTCCATGTACACGGGAACATGTTCGGCTTCGCGGGGTTGTACATGTAATTTGAGATAGTGATATTTGTGTTTTTGTACTCGGATCATGCACGCGAACTTTGAATTTACATGTTTAAGGCGTCAAAACAGCTTACGTTCAAATTACGAAAGAACAAGAAATCTTCGAGTCTCGTTAGCCTCCGGTTAAGTGTATATTTGCATTTTTGATGGTTGAAACTGAAATTAGTTTTATTACTTTTAAAAGCGTTTGTTGTCGCGGACATTTCTTTGAAGTAATCCTGCAAAAGTCCTCGAGATGCAAATACACTGGAATTCACGAAAATAAATAATTAGTTGTGTTCCTAAGGGGTCTTTTGACCGCGGTCTGCAAGTCACGTTGCTGTTTTAATTATGATTTTCATGCGTTCATAAAAGCACAGACAATTTTCGTTTGAAGGCGCGCCATGACCAATGATGTTTTGAAATTCTTTGATAGGTCACTGAAATGAGTAGCTTAGATTGTGATCTGGGCAATTTAACGGAATGTTACCTGCTCCATACTTTTTTTGTACACTGTGCACATCTGTGGTGCTGTGAGACAATTTCGCGAGATCTATGCGGTTAACGGATAGTTTGCGTTGTCAATATACGTTTCAATTGTTCTAAAATTTGGGAATCGGAGGATTAGTTCTGTTCTTGTGTAATTGTGTATCGTAGCAATTAAATGGCTTTGAACAATTGAAAGCGCTTGAGAAAATGGATTAAAGACTTGTAAAATCAGAAAAGCCCTTTGTTAATCGTTGTTTCCTACAGAAAATCACCGATATCTTTAATATTTCCACGAGTTGGAGTATTTAATAATTAATGCTGTATAGAGCAAAATATATATATCCTCATCTGTTTGGGAGCATCGGAAATATGACTTTACGAGAACTTTTGCCGATCCCAAATTTTATGAAGTTCTTTGTAAATTGATTTGGGTCATTTATGAATGCAAATTCTTTTGAAATTAACTTTTTTGTAAGATGTAAAGTGCAGATTTTAATCTAGAGCTTTCGTACTTGCAAATTATCTAATAGTCAAGTACATGTTTTTCAGTTATTAAGTGGTCCATAAAAAGTGTTGCTTTTGATATGACAGTTTTGTGGCAAGTGCAAGGTGTTGATTTTGTTGATGATTTGTTTGTTTGTATACAATTTCATTCACCTGTCAATGTTAACCCTTTGAATACCAAACTTTCGCCAAAAAATACCGTTTTTTAACCGTCAAGTCATGTTTTTTTAACTGCCATGACACTAAATTAGCCTAAGTTTTGTGAAAAAAGCTTGTTTTACTTAGAGGAGAGATTTTTTGAAGATTAGGTACAAAATTGAGCAATATTTCAATTCCGGGCATGCTCATGAGCCAAAATTTGGACTTTTTTTTTGCCATTAACCGTTCTCAATTTTGTTTGTTGCCCCTTTCTGTTCTGTTTTTCTCGGCCCTTTTACACTGGCTACTTTTTGCGTTGCACGTTCTTTCTGGCTGCCGTGAAAAGTTGGATGTTAATTACGGGCGAAGCCTAGAAATGGACCTTGATCAATCATAGGTGTAGTGAACCATTTTACCACCGTTTTTGCACCAAAACTGATTACGTTGTTTTTCGATTTCGACGTCGGAATGTCGTCGATATCTAAACCTGATCATTGTACAGAAAAGCCTAGCCTAGGACTACTATCTGCTTATCAAGAATACCTGCTGACATTTAAATTGATGACGTCACAAGTGGTACAAAGAGTACAACCATTAATTATGCATGTATGCGTAATTGGGGCTCAAAGGGTTAAGCTGTATTGGGGGAGAGAGGGGATGGTGGGGGGCAGGGGGAGAGGCTGGGAATAGGAAGGGCAATTACCCCGCTGAGAGAAAATGGTATTGGCTGGGATTTGCTCTGCTTACTTTTCCGTGGTTTGGGTCTAAGCAATGATTGGCTGAAATGACTTCAGTGGTAATTTATTATCCTGTGATCTGATTGGTTAGTTTGACTCCAGTTATTAAGCTGTATTGTAAAAGGACTTCTGCAAAAACTGTCATGTGCACTATTTTTTTTTTTTTTTCATTGTGATTATTTGCAAAGCTGGATTCATTATGCCAGTCAGTGTTGCTTGTCACCTAGAATGCATCTACCAGTTTTAAACACGGTAGAAATTATGTGCTTAGCTACATTTAACAATTATTCCACGAGCACGCATTGGATACGAGATAGTAGATAACCAATGAGGTGTGTAGCGCTGAGTTGGCTATAATCATCTCATATGCAATAAGCGTGAGTAGAATATTTGTTTAATGGATAATGCAATTCAAGAGTTTTCATTGGCTTAGCCATTGTGGGTTATGAACCATTACACCATGCTCTACAAATATGGTAAGCTTAAGTGTGAATTTTTGGGGTGTTTATATTTTTAATTAGTTTAGTTTTCTATATTTCGGGGGCATTTTTAATTAACATTATCAGGTTCTGAAGTAAACACTACTACAGCTGTAGTCCAATCCCTCATTTTGTTTACACTTTGGACCAACATATGTACAGTGTATGTACAAGTTGTAAGTACCTCATGCTCCCAGTATGTGGTGTTCTACAGCATTTTGATTAATTTTTGCAGGTAGATGTGGTGGTATTTGTCTTGAGCCCTGTCTCAGATGATCTAGAAGCTCTTAGAAAGTCTGGCAGTAGTACACCTGTTACGATACCAGCAAGTGGACTTGCCAGGTTTGTCATGACAGGTCATTAGACAGTAGGAGTCTTTAAGTGTCTTTATTATATGGCTAGCCCCGTGAGGAGGCCAGGTGAACCAAATCGTGTGCTGTGATTGGCTATCTGAGCAATTGGCTATCTTCTGCATGCCCGCTCTCAAAATTTCCCCAAAGCCATATATTAGATTAAATCGTTTATTGGCCAAGCTTGTTCGATCAAGATGGTTGGATAGTAGCCTCTTTCTTTTTATGCGTGTTTCTGGACCTGGACTCTGTCTTGATCCATAAACATGCCAGAAAAAGAAGAACTTGACCAATATCCATTCAAGCTTGGTCAACAACCCATATATATTTTCCTTCTATCAGTCTGTACAGACTGATAGAAGATTATATCTTGTAATTTTTTAATTTCAATTTTCTTTCATTTAAAGTTATTTTTCTTGGTAAATTAGCATAATCTTGCTAGAGGCCTAATCAGCCTCATCAACCCGAGTTGAAATAAAGTTATTTATCTATATAGCATAATTTTGATTGGCATCTTAGTCAATGCCAACATAAATCCTTTAAAGAGACATATTAAATAGCATATGGCACAAATCAAACGCCACTTTAGGCCTGTAACATTTTGAATCTATCCAGCCATGTTGACCTCATGCTTGGTTAATAATCAATCAATATATATTGCCTAAAGCATTTTTATGGTTTTGGTATTAATTCCACAAGTTTCTCTTTTTTTCAATTCTTAATATACTTTTCCCACTTAAGGCTTTGAAAATTTAAGTTGGCTCTGAACCCTATTGTACCAAATTGTTTTAAACTTTGCCAAAACGTTGCATGCTGTGTTTTTTAATTATAAGCCCCTAAAGCTGTAATGAACGGTGTTTTTAGCAGATCATACCATTGCTATGGTAACCTATTGTGTCAC